TTTTTTCTTGATGAGTCTGTCTAAAGTTCCATCAATATTATTTATCTTTTCAAAGAACCAGCTCTTGGTGTCATTTATATTTTGTATTGTGCTTTTAGTCTGTATGTCATTTATTTCTGCTCTGATCAGTATTATTTCCTTCATTCTACATACTCTGGGCTTTTCTTGTTGTTCTCTTTCTAATTCTTTAAGTTGCAGGGTTAAATTGTTTATTAGCCATTTTTCTTCTTTCTTGAGGTAGGCCTGTCGTGCTATGACTATCCCTCTCAGGACTGCTTTTGCTGTGTCACATAGATTTTTTTTTAAATTTCTTTCTTGATTTCATTAGTAACCCATTCATTATTTAATAGCATGCTTTTTAGTCTCCATGTGTTTGAATGTTTTGGGGTGTTTTATTGCAGTTGATCTCTAGTTTCATGTCACTGTGAACTGAAAATATGCTTGATATGATTTCAGTTGTCTTGAATTTGTAGAGACTTAATTTGTGTCCTGACACGTGGTCTACCTTTGAGAATGTCCCATGTGCACTTGAGAAGTATGTCTATTCTACAGCTTTGGAGAGAAATGTTCTGTAAATGTCTATTAAATCCATTTGATCTATGATCTAGTGTGTTGTTTAGAGTTGCTGTTTCTTTTCTGATTTTTTTTTTTTTTTGGTCTAGAATATCCAGTGATGTCAGTGGGTTGTTAAAGTTCCATACTATGATTGTATTGCTGTCCATCTCTAACTTAAAGTCCTCCAGAAGTGTTTTCATATATATTTAGGTGCTCCTATATTGGGTGCATATATGTTTACCAGCTATATCCTCTTGTTGTATCAATCCCTTTAGGATTATGAAGTTGGCTTCATTGTCTCTTGTTATGGCCTTCATTTTGAAATATATTTTACCAGATATAAATATTGCTACCACAGCTTTTTTTTTTTTTCATTTCCATTTGCATGGAAAAATTTTTTGCATCCCTTCACTTTCATACTGTGTGAATCTTTTGTTCTGAGGTTAGTCTCTTGTAGACAACATATGTATGGGTCATGTTTTCTTATTCATTTAACTATCCCTTTGTCTTTTGTTTGGAGCATTTAAGCCATTTACATTGACATTTTTATTCTATATATCTGTTTTACTCTTTCTTTCTCTATTACTTTTTCTTGAAAAATTCTTTTAGCATTTCCTGCAGTGTAAGTTTGGTGGTAATAAACTCCTTTAGCCTTTTTTTTTTCTTAAATCTTTGAAGCTCCTACTTCTACCTTCAATTTTGATTGATAGTCTTGCTGGATAGAGTAGTCTTGGATTCAGTCACTGGCTTTTCATTACTCTGTATACTTCATGCTACTCCATTTTTGCCTGATGTTTTTCTGTTGAGAAAACATTTGCTTGTCTAATGGGAGCTCCCTTGTAGGTAATCTCTGTCTTTCTCTTGCAGCCTTTAAGTTCCTTTGTCTTTAACAATTGTCATTTTAATTATGATGTGTCCTGGTGTGAATCTTTTTGGGTTTATTTTAATTGGGATTGTCTGTGTTTCCTAGACTTGTGTGACTTTTTTTCACCAGGTCAGGGAAGTTTTCTGTCATCATTTCTTCAAACAGGTTCTCTATATTTTGCTCAAATTCTTTTCCTTCTGGTAGCCCTAGTATGCAAGTTGCTGTGGCAGTTCTGTGCATTTGGGGGCATGCGTCATGTCTACTAGGTGGTTTTAAGCAGTGGGGTCATTTGTCCAGGGGTACCAGGTCAGACACAATGGGTTACAGTGGCAGGTCTGTGCATCTGGGGGCATTGGGCCATGGTGGCAGGGCTGGTCACACCACATGAAAGCAGTGGGGCCAGTTGGCCAAAATCATCTGGTCTGTCATGGTGTGTGGGGGTGGCAGACCTCTGGATCCAGGTGTCAAGGTGGTGAGGTTGGCAGTGTACTCCACTGGTGGAAGAGGCAGCCCAACTTGGTGCTGCTCAACTGATGCAGGCGGCTTACAGGGGTTGTTCAGGTGGTGTAGGGGGCAGGGTGAGCCAGGCACTGCTCCGCTGATGGAGGAAGCAGGGTGGGCTAAACATCCAACTTGCCAATATGGCAGGGCAGGCCAGGTGCTCCATTCACAGAGAGGGTCGGCCAGGTGCTCAGCTCATGTAGGGTCAACGTTCCACTAGCCAATGTGGCAGGGCAGGCCCAAGACACTGCTTGTCAAGGCATCCTGCCGGTCCTCCAAGGCCCACAGTCCAGGCACACCAAGCTGCTATGTCTAGTCTGTGTGTCCAGAGGTTTCAGGTCCCAGCAGTGGGGGCATGTGCTTCCATCCTTTGCTTAGGGGTACTGAGGTAGTGCTACTCCTTGCAGCCTCCTCCCACAGAGGACCTTGTAGGTCCTTCAAAATGGCATGCTCTCCACTTTCAAGCATAGAGAAACACCTGGTTGTGCATCACACAGCAGCTCTTCTGCTGGAGCGACCAACCCTGACCACCTCCACTCCCCCTTTCCCACCCAGCTTCTTCTGAAAGATGCCCTCCCACATTCACAACCACAAACACTCTCCTGCGCACCCACTCATACAATAACCCTCACTCCAGTCCTGTCCTCTGCCACATTGGTCCTGCCATTTTCTTAATTGTTTCTGGCTCTTACATTTTTTCTTCCATTCTTGGCTGTCTTCCTTGATGTTTTGATTTTTTGTAGTGCCATACTTTGATTCCTTTCTGTATATACTTTGTATATCTGCTACAGGTATTATATTTGTATCATAAAGTTTACATAAAACATCCCATTTGTATAGCAGTCTGTTTTAAGTTGCTAGCAAAGTAACAGACCACATACAGATTACATTTTAACTTTTCCTTCCCTTACATTTGTTATTAATATCATAATTTATATATTTTTAGATTGTGTATCCATTAAATTATTACAGCTATAGTCATTTTTAATAATTCTGTATTTTAACTTTTATACTGGTTAAGTGATTTACACACCTTCATAGTATTAGAACATTCTGAATTTGACTATTTACTTGTCTTTAGCAATAAATTTTAAATACTTTTATGTGTTTCCATGTTGTTAGTTAGTGTCCATTTATTTAACTTGAATAAAGTCTTTCAGAATTTCTTGGAAACCAGTTCTATTGGTAATGAAACCCCTCTGAGTTTGTCTGGAAAAGTTTTATCACTCCTTCATTCAGAAAGACTGCTTTGTAAAGTGTAGTATTCTTGGTTGACAGGTTTTCCCCCCTTTCAGTACTTATCATATATCATTCCACTCTCTCAGGTCATACAGGGTTTCTGCTGAGAAATCTGTTCATAGTTCTATAGTTTCTTTGTATGTGATAATTCATTTTTCTTGTGCTGCATTCAAAATTCTCTCTTGGCCCTGGTATTTTGAGAATTTAATAGAATATGTCTTAGTGAAAATCTCTTTATGTTTAATCTATTTGGGTTTCTTTGTGCTTCAAGGATCTGGATGCTCATTTCCCTCTCCAGATTTATTAAGTTTTCTTTCATTATTTCTTGAAATAAGCCCCTTCCCCACCCCCCACCCCTTTCCTTCCTCTGCTCCTTCTGGGACTCTCATAATGTGTATATTACTTTGTAGACAATGTCTCATAAGTCTCCTAGGTTTCCTTTACTTTCTATCAATCTTTTTTTTTTCCTCTTTGTTCCTCTGACTGGATAATTTCATATGACCTATCTTTATGCTCACTAATTATTTCTTCTGCTTGGTCAAGGTTAAGTTGAAGCTCTCTATTGAATTTGCCTATATAGTCATTGTGTTCTTCAGTTCCAGAATTTTAGTTTGGTTGTTTTCATATGGGTTCTATAACTTTCTTGGACTTCTCATGGGAATTTCTTGTCAGACAGTTCAAAGATCTCTGTTTCAATAGGGTCAGTTTCTGGTGCTTTATGTTGTTTCTTTGGGGGTGTAATATCTATGCAATTATTACTAATCCATGAGGCCTTATGTTGTTGCCTCTTTGAAGAAGTAGGAAAATCTTCCAGTCTTTAGAGAGTGGCTTTGGAAAAGAAAACCTTTATCAGTCAGCACACAAGATAAAGAGTGGGCCATTTGATGAGATCCACAGGTGGACTTGCTGCTGAAGTTTTTAGGAAGCCTGATCCAAAGCCTAGGTCATTTGGTGGACAAGCCTGCTGGAGCAAACATGCAGCCTGGGGTCATAGGGCTGGCACATCATTGGGGTAGACCTAGAGGCTGGGTCCACAGGGGTATATCTTGGATGCTGGGTCTGTGGTTACATCATGAAGACTAGGGGAACAATGGCTTGCCTGAAACTTGGTAACACAAGCTGGCCTGGTTCTGAGGCTTGCCTGGAGCCTGTGTCTGTGGAGGCCAGAAGGTAATGGGTTGATACTGGGGTTCACTGGGTAGGCCTGATGCTAGTGTCCAAAATTAAGTTGAGTGTTCACTTCACTCTCCTCCCCTTAGGTGCAGGGTAATTTCCTCAAACTGCACTGTGTGAACTTGGGGGAAGAGTGACATGGGTAATATAAAAATGTTCTTCCTGCCATATGCATGCACTTTTTCTTATTTTTGTGTCCTACCCAGGTGCTATAATCCCTCAGCTGGTTACCATGGCTCTCATGAAGGTATTTTGATGTATGGATGGTTGTACGAATTGATGTTACTCTGAGGAGACATGGTCTGGAAACTACTCTTCAGCCATCTTGCTGATATCATTACTCCATTTTAGCTAGATTTGAAATTAAAATCTCAGAACATTCAGAAAGCACATTGCTCACCCATTTCTATGTATTGAGGTACAAATCTAAGAACCTCCTGGATTCTCCACTGGCATCCTAAGGGATCATGGTAACTGGCTTTATAGGTTTATCCTTATCCTATTTACTGCCAAAGGACGAATTTGCTCTTTGGGCATACATTTTTAAAACCATGCTTTGTATGGGCCAGGAGCCAGGAAAAGTCTACATTTACATGGAGAAAAATGGCCACACCTCCACTTCTGCTTTCTTTGTGTCTAATCACTGTTAAGAAGCTAAAGGTAAATTTTAGTACTGACCTTCACTTTCATCTAGGGAAGAAGTATTATAGACAAGTGTCCTTTCCCGCAGCAAGCGCTTCGAAATCGTGATTGGTTTGTGCCTTCTAGCTGTCACTCGAGGTGGAGGCACTGGGGGTGCAGCACTTTCCTCAGGTGGGCCTGAATAGATCTGTAAAGGGGGAATATTTACAGGAAACAATTAGAAAGATCAAGTTTTTATCTCCCTATGCCAGTGATGGCAAACCTATGACACGCGTGTCAGAGGTGACACGTGAACTCATTTTTTTGGTTGATTTTTCTTTGTTAAATGGCATTTAAATATATAAAATAAATATCAAAAATATAAATCTTTGTTTCACTATGGTTGCAAATATCAAAAAAAATTTATATGTGACACGGCACCAGAGTTAAGTTAGGGTTTTTCAAAATGCTGACACGCCGAGCTCAAAAGGTTCGCCATCACTGCCCTATACTAACTACTATTTGATGCCAGTCAGCATTACATCTAGAGTCTGCCATAGCAATTCTAAAATGATTAAAGAAATGGAGGAATTATTTTAATCACTCTAGCTACCAGCAAGAGTTTAGAAATCTCCTACCATGTTCAAGGCACATGATCTGGCATTTCTCAGTGTGGAAGAAATAATACAGACAAAAACTCCAACATCAGTAGTGGATTTTCCACTTACAGCCTGGGAAACCTTAGTCAAGTCTAATCCCATGTTTGAGCCTTAGTTTCCTCATCTGTAACACAGATAGGGTGCAGTGATAATCAAGTGAAAACTGTAATCAAGGTATATGGCATGAATAGGGGTGGAGTGTGGAGATAATGTAAAATACCCACATGTACTCAATTTTTCTGAAAGGATACCAAAGAAACTGGTATATTGTTTGCCTCAAGGCAGGACTAATGAGTGGCTGAGGAAAGGATGAAGGAAAACTTATTTTCATTCCTATATCATTTTGATCTTTTAAAATTTCATACCCTTTATGCATTACTTATTAAAAATAGGACAAAAACAAAGTACCTTGGAAAATGTAAAAAGTGTTGGATTGATGAGAGAGGGACTTTGATTAAAATTTTTATATAGTGTCTCACATGTCTTTGGGGAGAATGACATTTTGGCCAAAGAGTACACACTTTGGGAGGAAACACACATGTGCTGAGGGAGGGAGGTGACTATTATTCAATGCAATAATGAAATCAACTCCAATGATTAGTATAAAGAGAAATGTTAGAGCCCAATATTCTATCAGAAAAGAGTCAACATAGGCTGCATAGTCACGGGATTTATATGTTTGGAAACACAAGGCAAACTTGTGTTATACCTGGATAATGGTAGAGAACAATACAAGAATATTCACAAGATAGTACATGTCTCAATGTCTCATGGCTTAGCGAAGAGAGACTATGACATAATAGTAAGCAGATGAGCTTTGAGACCATACAGTTAGGGGTTATATTTCTGGTTCCACTATTATTTAGTAACAATATTATAAATACCTAAAATTTTGTGAGCATTTGCTTAGGTATTCTTATTCCTTGTTATTCATCAAATACTCCAGGGCCTTTGCACTGAGTATTTCATCTATTTGCAGTGCTCTATCTCCAAACATCCATGTAGCTTTCTCTCTCAATTCCAGTAGGATTATGATCAAATATACTTTTAATAAGTCCTTCTTGGTGAATGTATCTAAAACGTTGACATGCTTCCCTCTACCCAACACTACCTATGCTCCTCTCCTGTTTAAGGTTTTTTTTTTTTTTTCAATCCTCACCTGAAGATAATTTTTTCACTGATTTTTTTAAAGAGAGAGTGGAAGAGAGGGGAGAGAAAGAGAGAGAAAAACACTGACAGGAAAGCCAAATCGATTGGTTGCCTCAGTAGGCACACAAACCAAGGCTGGGAATCAAACCGCAACTGAGATACATGCCCTTGACAAGGAATTGAACCTGTGATCCTTTGGTCCATGGTCCAATGCTCTAACCACTGAATCAAACTATCCAGGGCTCCTGTTTAAGTTTTGTTCTTCTAAGCATTCCTTATCACTTTACAGCATAGTATATTGTGGTTATTTATTTTTGTTGTTGTCTGTCTCCTCACTCAATTGTAAGCTATATGGAAGTATATCATCATGTTCACTGCTATATCTCCAGCAATTAGTAGAGTGATTAGAATTGCTGAGCCAAAAGTCAAACACACTTAAAATTAAATGGCCCACTATAGCTACTCCCATTTTCCAGCTATGATAGTGCAAAAGGGACTAGATTAATATCTTCAGCCTGAAACAATAAAAAAAAAAAACTAGAAAAATACATGGAACAATGGTTTTCAAGGCATTTAAAATCTGACAATGAAGGGCAGTGATACACAAGAGACAGGAAAAACTAATGAGATGAGCCCTATGATTGGTCCAGCTTATAGATTGGAGTCTGCACAACATAATGCATGGAGGGGAATTCAGCGGAAGCCCATCAGTCTCCCTAAGTTGATGACATTGAGTTGCAAGTATGGGGAGGGCAAAGAAGTGAGAGTTTTCAGGGCAGACTACCAGAGAGAAGACTGATGCACAGAGTTCTGGAAATCTGTAGGGGTTCTTTTTAAGACTTTGAGTGCTGACCAACACATATGTGTGAGGCAAGAACCACATGATAAAATTACAGGGAACAATACCTAAGATCACAGAGTACCTGGAAGAGTTCCTCTTCTCACCAACCACAATGAAAAATAGAATAATTCATAGGACACTGGGTAGAATATACAGAAAAGTTTTGCCTCATTAGCTAAAAAAATAAAACAAACACCCTAGAGGAAACACTGTTCTTTTTCTGCCTAACAAACACTAAAAGAAATACTTTTAAAAGAAGTACTTTAAAAAAAAGCATCAAGCTGTTTTCAAGTAACTTAAATGTATCTCAGAAAATAGCTTAAGAATATTATTTATAGGAATACAAAAAAAAAAAAAATGGCCAAGATCCAAGAAGGCAAAATTAGCAATGTCTTGCACCAAATAAGAATTATAAGAAATAGCATACCTCTTTTCAATTTTGGTGATTTTTATTTCTTTTTCTTGCCTAATTGCTCTGGCTAGGGATCCAATACTAAGTTGAATAGGAATACTAAGAGAGCACACTTGTATTGATACTGATCTTAGGGAGAAAGCTGTACACTTTTGACATTTGAGTACGATGCTAGCTGTGGTCTTGTCATATATGAAGTGTTTTGTTGAGGTGCATTCCTTCAGTACCCAATTTTTAAAATATTTTTTTATGAAAGGATGTTGAATTTTAGAAAATGCATTTTGTGCACCTAGTGAGATTATCATATGATTTTTATTTTTAATTATATTAATGTAGTATATCACATTTATTGATTGTGTATGCTGAACCACCCTTGCTTTCCAGGGGTAAATCCCACTTAATCATGGTGTATTATCCTTTAGTATGCTGTTGAATTTGATATGCTAGTATTTTGTTGAGAAATTTTGTGTCTATATTCAACAGATATATATGTTTGTAGTTTTCTATTTTGTAGAGTCCTTATTTGACTTTGGTATCAAGGTAACTTTGGCATCATAAAATGAGTTTAGTAACATTCCCTTCTTTTCAATATTTTTGAAGTTTGAGGAGGACTAGAATTAACTCTTCTTTTAATTTGGTAGAGTTCACCAATAAAGCCACCTAGTCCTGGGATTTTTTCTTTGTTTGGAGATTTCTGATTATTGATTCAATCTCCTCACTCATTATTAGCTTGATTATATTTTCTATTACTTCATGATTCAGTATTTGTAGGTTGTATGTTTCCAGGAATTTAACCTTATTTTTTTAAAAAAAATGTATTTTTATTGATTTCAGAGAGGAAGGGAAAGGGAAATAGAGAAACATCGATGATGACAGAGAATCATTGATCTGCTGCCTCCTGTAGACCTCACACTCGGGATTGAGTCATCAACCTGAGCATATGCCCTGACTGGGAATTGAACCATGACCTCCTAGTTCACAGATTGATCCTTCTTTTCCATGTTGTCCTATTTGTTGGCATACAATTATTTCTACTAAGTACCTTTCAATAATAACTTTAAACGTAAACGGACTAAATGCTCCAATCAAAGACATCGAGTGGCTGAATGGATAAAAAGACATGACCCATATATATGCTGTCTATAGGAGACCCACCTCAGAATAAGGGACTCACACAGACTGAAAGTGAAGGGATGGAAAAATATCTGTCAGGAAAATGCAAATGAGAAAAAAAAAAAGCTGGAGTAGCAATACTTATATCTGACAAAATAGACCTCGAAATGAAGGCCATAACAAGTGATAAGGAAGGCTACTTCATAATACTAAAGAGATCAATACAACAAGAGGATATAACCCTGATAAACATATATGTACCCAATGCAGGAGCACCCAAATATAGCCCTGGCTGGCTGTGGCCTCATCTCAAGGAAACAAAGTTTCAATTATAGAAGAAAAATAAATCCCAGATACCTGCTTCCAGCCAGCCTCCACTGGGAGCTTAGGTGGCTGGGGGCTGTGGCCAACCTGCAAACAGCCATCAGCCCCTCACCCAGGCTGGCCACACCCTCATGGGGTGAAGGTTCCCAATGGGGGGCTTGGCCAACCTGCCATATCTAATCTAGCCAGTGGGTGGTAGGGGAGTTTATGGGGGTGGGAGTGGAAGAGTAGCAAACAGTTGCCAGCTGCAGGGGGTGGGCTGTTCATTCTAGGTAGAGTGCAAAACCTGGGCAACGACTAGAAGCAGGAAGTAGTGCATGTAACGGGAGGACCCACAAGAAGGTCAGGGTTGCTGGAGCATGGAGCAGGAGGCAGGAAATGGTCACAGGCAAGGGTGGGGAGGGCGGCAGAAACAAATCCTGATGTTTAAACCAGTGAAGTATTTTAAGAAGGAAAGTGACATGCTCAGAATTATCCTTTAACTAAACCCCTCAAGGTTTGTCTGAAGCATGGACTTGGAGACACAGAGCTGTGGGTGTAACTGCTGGCTATACAGCTTATTAGCTGTATGAACTTTAGCAAGATATAAAACCTTCTAAGTCTCAGTCTTGTCAACTGTAAAATGGGAAGTAAATGAGGCATTGAATGTAAAGCACTGGAACATAGTAAATGTTCAATAAATAGTAGCTCTTATTATTATCTAATAATAG